GGTTTACACTCGTACACTTTATCCTACAGGATTGACCTCTCAGCTCCAGTAGAAAGCAATGAATAAAATACTGATGGGGTATACACCCGTGATTACAATCAGATACGTCCAAGCAAATCTATGCCTATTCCCTTGTACTAATATGTTGTAAAACGATGTAGATCGCCACTTGCCTAATGGTGTAACACTCTGCATGTCCTATTTGGCTAATGATATACTATACTGTATGTATATATGTGTTAGAATAAAATAGTCTAAGAGTGTATATGCTATGCATACCGTCTGGTTAACGGTATGCTATACTGTATATGTTAGAATGAAAAAGTATAATCGTATATATCGTCATGCTATACAAGTTATACATACCGTTTGGCTAACGGTCAGCTACAAAGGACCGATCAGACGCTATCAGCATCATCACTGCTGCACTGAAATTCCCAGCAAAGTATAGAGCTCGCCATTCGACTGTGACCCAGGCAATTTACTTATCACTAATCATTGTTATTATTGTTATTATTACTCCTTTGACCAGGTAAGTTGGGATCAAGGTGAAGCGATTTGGACAAACGAAAATTCAATTGGACAATCATCAAACCGAATTGGTCAGTTCGATTTTCCTATTTAGTACATTATCGGAACCGATTTGGACAGCCGATATAGGTTCGGAGAGGTATTGAGCATTTTGGACATATCAGATTTAGGTTGGGAGAAACGAGGAGCATTTTGGACATACTGGATATAGGTTGGGATAAATGATTACCATTTTGGACAAAGTGATTTAACAGTTTGGATGCATGACGGAGTTAGGCAGATTGATTTAACAAATTAGTATTGTATTGCCAATACCACATTTAGTTCAACAATGAACCGATTTGAGATTCTGCGCATACCATCGGGACCAACAAAGATATCAATTTAGTGGAATCGATTTTGCATGTTAGTCACATGCGTCTGAATCACGGGCCTGCAGCTCCCGTGAACTATCGACCGAGGTGGACATGCGCAGCACACACGTGAGTGACGCACGATTTTCTGTGGGGCCCACCAATTTATGCGCTCGTCAGTCTAAATCGTTCGGTCCTTTAACGAAAGGCACAGTGGGTCTGTCCTAGTTTCTAGAATACCTGTCCATATCGATTCACAAGGTGTCCAATTCTAATCTACGGTTCCGAGAAGCTTCTACAAAAATCTAAAACGTTTGGACTACACGCCCGATTCCAATCTACCGGTCCAAGAAAGGTTCGCCGTTTCTCTAACTTAGGCGCGTTCACCTAATTTGATAAAAAGAAAATCCAATACGGTATTGTTTTTGGTGAGAACCCGGTAGGGCCTGCCCATTTCGGTTCACGAGATGTCCAAATAGCGGCAGTATGCATCTAACTTACCTGGTCAAAGGAGTATATTATTATTATTATTATTATTATTATTATTATTATTATTATTATTATTATTATATTATTTTCATATGATTATTATTATCCATGTCTACGATTCATGATGTCATGAACACTGAAATAGGAACAACGCAAGAAAGCAAATTTAAATCATTTAACTTATTTAAGTACTTTCTTCTTTTTTTTTTTAGGTTTCCAAAACTCCACATCTTTCAAAACTCCAAAAGTATTACAACTCCAACAAAGGTTCTAGAACTCTGGAGTTCGAAATTGCCAATTACTAAATTCGAATTACTTGTTCGTAATTAGTGAATTTGAATTACTTGTTCGTAATTAGTGAATTTGAATTACTTGTTCGAAATTAGTGAATTCGAATTACTTGATCGCAATTAGCGAATTCGTCGAACTAACTATTCAGAAGGAATGAACTTAGCTTGTGACAAAAGAATTGGGAGGAACAAGATATTCGAATTACTGACGAAACCCAATGGCTACCGTAGCATTCGTTGTCCCTTTTTGGAACGCAGAGGCAACTGGACTGTCGACAACCGCGCAAAAGAAAGTTTAAAAACAAAAAAGGAGATCGGAGGGAGGGGACAGCAAACTACCTTGATGCAAGTCCAATCAAGGTTCACAGCGGCCAGGCGACTTGTTTCTTCCTTGATGGTCTCAATCTTCTCAGTTTCTTCCTCCTCTACTTCCTCCTCCTCCTCCTGCAAAGACATGCATGTGTCAGCCAGACAGACAGGTACTATCAACCATTCACATGTACACAGACAGACAAGTGTGCGAATTGTGTGTTTTCACACGTGCATACACACATACACACATACACATACACAGAGGCTTAAGCACACACGTAATTCTCTCTCTCTCTCTCTCTCTCTCTCTCTCTCTCTCTCTCTCTCTCTCTCTCTCTCTCTCTCTCTCTCTCTCTCTCTCTNTCTCTCTCTCTCTCTCTCTCTCTCTCTCTCTCTCTCTCTCTCTCTCTCTCTCTCTCTCTCTCTCTCTCTATATATATATATATATATATATATCTATCTATCTGACACACACACACACACACACACACACACACACACACATACATAGACACATACACACAATAATAATAGAAATCCTCCTAATAATGTGGTAGATGAAGAACTAAGTATATATTTAGTGATCCACAGGAAAACTGACTGCGTGCATGCCGCACAGGTCGTTTGCGAATGTGTGAACACACGCAGAAGCGGAGCGACAACCGATATGCAAACATGTCCATAACATCGACTGGCTTAATAATACAATGCTGAAATAGTACACGTGTAGTCATACAAGTGCCACTCACAAGCACACTCCCAAACCTGAAAGAACACACACACACACACACACACACACACACACACACACACACACACACACACACAGAATGTGTTCATATTCACATGTGCGCATAGCTGTGCGCAGGCAACGTTTGTTCCACAAGCCTTTTACCGACCAGGTACACACGAGCGGGACAAGCAAGGGTAATTTCAGTACCTCATCGGAAATATCCGTGCTTTCATCAGACGATGACACGTCGGTGGATGATGATACGTGCGTGGATGACGATCCCTCCTCCCCCTCCTCTTCCTCCTCCTCCTCCTCCTCCTCGAGAATCTCCTTTCCTTTTCTTGCTATTTTGACTTTGGCTTGCCTGTATTTCTGTGTCCTTTCCTTTTTCCCCTTCCGCTCTTCCTCTTCCTCCTCTTCCTCCTCTTCCTCCTCTTCGCTCTCCTCTTCGCTCTCCTCTTCGTTGTCCCAGTCCTTTGCTTTCCCTTGCTTTTTCCCCTTCTTCGTCCCCTCCTCCTCCTCCTCCTCCTCCTCCTCCTCCTCCTCTTCTTCCTCCTCTTCTTTGCCTTTCCCTTGTTTCTTCTTCTCTTCTTCTTCCAGCTCCAGTTGATAAAACCGCCTCAGATCTTCCCCGCGCTTTTCCTGTCTGTTGACCCTCCCGCGTTTATCGAGCGCTGCGTTCACTTGGAATGCTTCTTCCGTGAACATTCTCTGAAATCTCTTGTCAATTGCGATCCTCTGCTTCGCTTTCGGAATAATCTGGAACCTTGGATCTGTGTGAAGGCGAGCAAATCTCTGATCTGTAATCACGGGCCATTCTTCTCGTTGCCCCGTGCTCGTGCGCTCCTCCTCCTTCTTCCCCTGCAAATCGTTTTTTTTCCCTTTAGGCGGAGGGCCGCCATGGCCACCTTTCGCCTTTGGATTCTTCATCGTCGTTCTCAAAAAATCCCGATACTAGATATTATTATATTATATTATTAATAACAATATCTAATAATCGCAGACAAAACAAGCACAACACAACGCAGCTTCCTGTTAGATCGACGACCAAAAAAAAATCCTGTTAGATCGACGACCAAAAAAAAATCCTGTTAGATCGACGACCAAAAAAAAAAACAAAAAACAAAACAAAACACACACACACACACACACACAAACCATTCATACCGATCACCAACTCACGAGTTCGAACCCTGATGCACAACTTAATTCCAAGTCCCAAAAGGCAAACGAGGAGCATCTCAACCCGCCCTCCCACCCACCCTCCACTTAGGTCAGCAAGTCAGCAAGTCACGGCAGTTCGAACCCTAAACCTTTAGTGAAGGCAACCATGATGCTAAACCCTGCTGCACTTAGGTCAGCAAAAAAGTCACCAGAGTTCGACCGATTCATGATAAATAACTTAACAGTAATAATAATGCCCAGGGCAACCAAGGAGCACATCACCCTGCTGTAACTTGCTCTAAGGAAGGGTTTGGTGGAAAGCACACATAAAGTTGTTGTTCAACCAAATCCTATCCTGAGACAGTGGAGTTCAAATCCTAACGGATAAATTAGGGGCATACTCAGACGACGAGTGAGTTCTCCGCCTGAATTTGGTCGGGATGGCAGTCAAATTCAGTTTTTTTTTTCCGGGAAAGGTCTTATTGCGAGTATGCTCTTATGCCATGCTATGGATAAATTCCAAAAAGCTACAAGATTTATTAAGCAATTGCATGTAAATTGTCAAAATCGCTTATATATAGATATTCATACATGCATAGACATTATATTCTACAAATATTTAATGTTTATACATCTGTTTGACGATACATATATATTTTTTTTTGTCACAATGTGAATCGGCGCGCGAAGGCGGAAAAAAAAAAAAGACAAAACAAGAAAAGGAAAAGAAGTAAGGAAGGAAAGCCCCACCTGTTCATCACCTCTTACGTACAAGCCCAGCCACGTGGATAACAAACAGGTTGAGCGCTGGCTGGACCCATCCCCGTGTGTCACAATGACCCACTTGCACGCAGTCAAAAGGCAAAAAAGAGGAGGTAAAGAAAAGGAGGAGGAAACCAGACCTCCTCACAGAGACAAGTGAAAGAGAAAAGGATCCAATTCAGGAAAAAAAAACAAAAAAAGATCCAATTTAGGAAAAAAACAAAGGAAGACGAAGGCCTATTAGTCAAACAAAGCAAATGACACATCCCATAAGATAAACCAAAATTGCCACTGTCACAACAAAGTTCAACTTTTTTTTTTTTTTTCCTTGTTTTCTGTTTTTTYTTTTTTTTTTGTTTCTTCAACTCCACATCTGGTGGTAGAAGAAGAAGAAGAAACGGTGCGTCTTGGCTGTGGAATTCATCATCATCTATGCCATCACCATTATCAATCTATTGCGGCCGCCGTCTGTGCCGAAGGGTGTCTCCCACATTTCCTCATAACTGCACTGTACACACATCCCTAATATCCCCCAGATATTCGTTGTCCCTTTTGTGCACAAGGAAGCTATCAGAACTGCATGATGGGGCACTGTGATGAACGTCCTGCTGCTGGTTTTTTGACATGTGGACAGCAGCATGTCCTTCGTCAGGACTGTTTAGATGGGATGGGATTGGATGGTCCGTGCTAGCCGTCCTGCTGAATGCTGTGTAGTGCTGAAGTAGCTCTCCTTGGGTATCCTTGTGAACAAACATCCACGTCATCCTCCTCAGCGTGCCTGTCCTATCTGCCGGGGTGGGGTGGGGGCTCCTCTTCCTGACTGGTCAATAGTAGAATCAAGCAGATCAGGAGCAACACTATACGTTCACAGATGAGGAAAAGTCGTCCGTGCCAAGGGTTTTCCACCGTCAGATATTATATTACAATCCACGCAAGGGGGGGGAGTAGAAAGTTCAGGAGGAGAATAAGAGACACACTTGCAACATTGGACAAAATGTGCAAGTGTGTATCTCTCTCTCTCTCTGAGCAGTGATGATCAGTAGCAATCTCTCTCTCTCTCTCTCTCTCTCTCTCTCTCTCTCTCTCTCTCTCTCTCTCTCTCTCTCTCTCTCTCTCTCTC